TGAAGATAAAGGTTAGTGTGAATATATTTGTGCCATGGTGACCGATTTCCAGCCATATCATTGAGAGTTTTCAGCCACTGATTCCTTTCGTCTGAATCATCCTAGCCATACATTCTACATCTGTTTACATGACTCAGTTCAACATTCAGAGTTTTCATTGATTGATATCACGTACCCATGTGGCCAGCCTAAACTCGTTTTCACCCTTATTCAATCTCCCCTAGGATTATATGTGTGGAGGCAGACGGTACATTTCCAAGCCATCTTAGTCGACTAATGTTCACAACGTCATCAGTTAATTTGCCTGTCTTCCCTAGTACCCTTTACTTAACTTCAACATTTCTAACACGGTGATTTTACGAAACACGATATATCTGTGGTTAAAACTTAATAATCGCTTCATATTGTCTACCTTTAATGATTATGTCTCACAGCCGAATACCAGAATTGAATGGACTGGTATACAGTATACTCGTCTTTTGATAAATAGTTGTATATCTCACTAGTTGAAGTTGTAGATGAAGCAAGCTAGCAAATGCTGAACGGATCTTATGTATCCGAGCTGTGATTTTATCAGTAATCAGTCCGTTTATGTTGATTTACTCTTCAGGGGGGGGGAGAGGGGGTGGAATGTAAACGATCTTTTTAAGCTGTTACACTTATCATCTATATGCCTGTATCACTTACTCTTTAAGAATGCTAAATACCTTCAATCTGTTAGGATTTATACAGAATGAGAATTGATTGCTTGTCGCCATTTTCAATTCTTCATTGTTTCTTTTTTTTTCGACTATTACTCCTGGCTAACTTCTTCATATTTTATTAACTGAATAGTTGAACAATTAGATTTTATCAGGAAGTAAGTGTATAAGAATTTCTTCTTCGCCTATTTTCCTTTTTTTCTTAATAAATAAACATAAAACACCTTTTGTATTAATTCAAAGCAAATATGCATATTGAAAATACTTACAGCCTATTAAAGCGTTATAAAACTCTGATCCCACGATAACAGCTTTACTCATAGTATGTAATTGAATACCTAACTTAAAACAAAACGTTTCAGTAGATTAGTTGAAATGTCAACTATAATAATATGAGACATGGTATCTTTCAAATGGTTTTAATGAGTATTTTATCATAGAAAAAGAAGGCTACTATCACTACTACTAAGCAGTGTTTAAAGTAGTATGCACATACAACATACGCACACAAACAGAGTCGGCTACGCATTAATCAAGACGGATTGTCTTTTTTTTTTCCTTTCTGTATGAGATGAACAATTTTCTTTCTTTCTTTTTTCAGTTTTAGTGTTTTCTATCTTTAAGGTAATATATTATGGCGGTAATTATCATTATGATGTAGTCAATATTTACATTAATGACAAGAATGACTACTTAAATTACTACTTAAGTAAGCCTATAATAACCTTGTTGATGTTTTGAAAAGGCTTAAATATGATCAGTTAATAACTAGTAATCTCTACGAATGCATGGAACCGGTAGGCTCCACAATTGTATGACTTTACGGATTACCGAAGATTTACAAGGCTGGTCTATCTCTTTGTCCAATTCTTGACATATCTGAATCTCCTTACCATCCAATTGTGAAATGGCTAGCCATAATCCTATCCATTCTCTACGTGATACTTTTGACTTTGTTGATTGTATAAGAGATAAAGATGTATCTTGTGAATGTTCCATTTACCGAAATTATCTCATTCTTATAGAGATACATAGAAGATAACAACATAAATGTTAGGATACTGACTCTCCGCCTTGGAAATTGTTAATTAGACGGACATTTAACGATATGATTTACAGACAGAAAAATAGAATCGCTATGGTATCCCACTAGGTTCATTACTAGCAGACTGTTCTATGGCCAGTTTGGAGAACGCAGATTTTCAACTGTACAAAAAGTACATCAATGATGCTTTTATGATCTGTGATCATCAATGTGATTTGAATCATCTTCTATAAATATTCAATAACTGTCATTCAGCAATTAGATTTACCCTTGAGGTCGAAAATTGATTGAAAATTTACTTTCTTGATATAGAACTGACTAGAACAGCCGATAGGACGTTAAGCAGGTTAATTCACAGAAAACTAATGTGGAATGATCAGTTAATGAACTTCAATAGCTAGGTCCCTATGAGCTGTAAATGAAATCTGATCATATCTCTTGCCACTTGCATTAAACAAATCTGTAGTCTCGATGTGTTAGAAGAGGAAATTTCTATTCTAAAGAACTTCCTGATCGAAAATGGATTCTCACCGCTCTTCATAGGTAAACATATAAAACCTAAACGTCGCAAAAACAAGCTTATCAGAAAAAGACAGTCTATATGAATCTGAACTTCAAAGGTGATTTTACCCTGACACTTACAAGGAAGATATCAAACGCTCTAAGGAGAACACTTTTTGCATCAACGCTGAGACTAGTATTCTCTTATCGCCTAACGATTTCTATCAACTCAGAGGAGAAACTTTCACATCTATGTGAATATATGAATTCACCTGCTCTTGTGGAGCCACGTATGTATATAGGTCGTTGGAGGTGACAGTTATCCAAAAGGATTCAAGAACACCATCCCACATGGTTACAAAGAGGTAACAATGAAGTGATAAGGAGTGCTATAATTGAACACATCATGAACATGAATAACCCCATCTCAAGAACCTTCTCGTTCAAAGTCATCTATAAAGTGGAAAGAAAACTCCTAAAAGAAGTATATCTTCATATTCTATGCATCGCCGAAGCTCTTGCCAGCCAAATGGAGAAAATTGATCTGTACATATGAAAAAAGTTTGTTCAACCCTTTCTCCTTTTATAGACTTAGTTTTCAGTTTCCTGTATCACCTCGCCTTTTTTCTTTTCATCATTCTGTTTTGACACTACTCACATGTGAAGTAATTTTCTACTCATTTGGGTTGGTTTGCTGTACTTGATGAATATTCACTATTCATCAGTTTTTGGTTTGAATGAAAACTCATTATTTGTGTTCCCTGCCATGTTTGATGAATCGTTTCAAATTATCAAATCTTTACACTACAGAAATGTATAAATTTACGATTGTACAGCTTTGAGAATGAAATCGCTGAAAATAGACTCTTTGCTAAAATATACTTGTTCGTCTTACAGATTTTTATTATTTAGTGGATATTAGAGTGTTGAACATTGAGTATATATGTGTTACTTTGCAACGAGGTTAAAGTCTTCATCTAGCTGAGTTTTAGTATGTCAGCGACATGGATTATTTTTCATATTAGTCGTTAATTTTCATATAGTGAAAGGCAGTGTCATCTGAATTCTATAGTCATTATTGTATGATGTCAGAGAAACTGGCTTATTTTAAACTTATTTCAATTTCTTATTACTCCAGTAAAGATCTGGAACTAGGATTTATAGAGTATATTTTCAGTTGCTAAATATACTATTGAACAAAGTGAGTAGTTATAAGTCATTCAGATGGATCTATAGGCTTCTCCAGACAGGCAGATAAGAGTGGGTCTTAACACTGTACGGTTGTTTCTCTCATTTCAGGTTGATGTAGCTTATCAGAGGTCTATCTGAAAAAATTCACTTCATAGACCCAACTTGGTTCAGATTATTTGGATTTCGCTGGTAAGCTGACTTACATGCATAAGTATACCTAAAATAGAATAATCGATTTGTCCATCACTGCCCATCAATCTTATTGAGCTTTATCATAGATAGTCTTATGGAGGTATTCTTCTAGTCACCTGACTACTCAGAGGTTGACCTATTCATGGGAGAATTTTTGTTAGACCTAGAATACGCTGACAAGATGCAGAGTCTTGTGAGCACTTTGAGTGAGAATTTGAGAATGCTTGAGATGCGTTTCTCACCACTGAAATGTAAATTATTGTCCCACAAATGGTGTTCAACGGTGCCTTGACTAACAATAGAGGGTGTAGTAGCAGTTGAGTGTGTTTACCACTTCACTTACTTGGTAAATGTGGTCAGCCGTGTCCTAGTGGGTGAGTGGTTGATGAAATCTCTGCACGGATATAAAACGCTTTGTTGGCTTTGGCGAAGTTACACGACGTATGGGTCTGGGTTGATATGATATGAGATTGTGTGTAAGGGTTGGCGTGTGGTGCACGTTCACAGCATTATGCTCTGTTGTACTGTATGACTGTGAAACATGGTCATTGAATGTGAGAGATATGAGTAGGTTGGGTGGAGGTGTTTGACGACCTTTGCCTTCTTGGTATATGCTTTGTATGATGGTGTGACTAGGAGAGTAAGGTAGAAGTGAGGTGTAGAGTTTAATGTGGAGGTGGAAGAGGTGAGTGAGTTAGTTGACGAGGTTATGAACTATGATGGAGTGAGATGGTTGTCTGGGATATGTGTTAGATATGCGTAGTGGCTGATTGTGTTGTTACCCAATGTTGGTTGAAGTAAGTAGGTTGAGGTGATGTTTGAAAAGGGGTGTTATCTCTTGACCAGACCAAACATGGTATGAATGTGTGAAGTGTTTGAGTGTTGATTTGAGTCATATGGGGTGATGTAGAGTATATGTTTTGGGTAATTGTTGGAGAATAGAAAGGAGGGAGTGATTGGAGACTGAGTGTAGGTGATGATGTTGTTGAGAAGTGATATGAGTGGCTCAGATGTATCGTCATACACCTTATCCTCATGTTAAGATGGTATACCGAATCTCACTATTTTCTGATTGTTTCTTCCTCTCTTTTCTTACTTTATATTTCTTTTCTTGTTCATTTTCGACTTGACTGGCTTTTTACTAGATGTTGTGATATGAGGTGTTGCTGGAAGTTGGACCGTTACGCAGTGATGCGTGGTCATATGTTGATTTGGATGGGTAAAATGGATTATCATTTGATTCAAACCTTCATCTTCATAGTTAGGGTTGTCAGTGTTATGCATGTTACTTCATTGTAAACATTTCTAGTCAACTTGTTGCTAAGACATCGGTATTTTTTACTTTTTCAACCAATTCACATTTTATATAGTATTCAAAATGCCGTTTCCAACTGATCCTCGTCTGGCAAGTTACTTGCTTCCTGGTTATCCAGCTGCAATTGCTGCTGCTATGGCAGCTGTTAATGCTGTATCCTGTACATCATCCCCTTATTTAACAACTTGTTCATCATCTTCTCTACCATCTCTAATTAAACCTACTTCATCTGTATGGAATATGAATTCAGCTAATGGAAATACATCGTCTTTTTGGTCAACTACTTCAACTGTACAAACTAGTTGTACTAGTGGTGGTGGTAGTGGTTCATCATCCACCTCTTCTTCTTCTTCTTCTGGTTATGCAAGTTCTGAAGGAAGTGGTAGCAGTAGCTCAAATTTATTTCATTCTTCTGCAATATCACCTGGTAATGTTAATGGAAGTGGAAGTGGAAATAATCCTAATGGTGGTTTCAATTTTTACAATATCATTATAATCATAATCATCAGCATTATTATCCTCATCAGCATAATTTAAATCAAAAACAACATTTACAGCATAATAATGATGAAGAGATACTTTCACGTATACGAAGGGAATCATTAAATTTTGAAAAATCCTTATATTTCTCAAGTAATAATAATAATAATAATAATAATCCAGTGAATATTACCAATCGCACTATAGACTATAATTTATCTGGTCAACTCTCTGGATTTTCTAATTCACATAATGATGATAAAGTCAAAGTGTCAACGGGTTCAGTAAGTATAATATTTTATTGATATTTAATATAAGTCTCTATGCATTATATGTGTATATGTTTATGTATGCGAATTCATGTTATTTCAAGTTGTTATTCATCGAAGACTGACATCAGTTGGAGGAACAAAGGAAACCTGGGAGCACTGGACAGCTGTTTCGTCCGACTAGTATGGGACTCCTCAGCAGTGCACACCCACGACCCCACCAGCAGGGATCGAACCCGCGACCTTCAGGTTCCGCGACCAGCGCGTTACCATTTAGCCACTGGGTCAGGATCGTGAGCTAACAGAGGTTGGAAATATGGAGCATTGGATTCTGACCCAGTGGCTAAATGGTAACGCGCTGGTCGCGGAACCTGAAGGTCGCGGGTTCGATCCCTGCTGGTGGGGTCGTGGGTGCGCACTGCTGAGGAGTCCCATACTAGTCGGACGAAACAGCTGTCCAGTGCTCCCAGGTTTCCTTTGTTCCTCCAGCTGATGTCAGTCTTCGATGAATAACAACTTGAAATATTTCCAAATCTCCACAACCCCCTCAAAATTCATGTTATCATTATTTTATTCAGTATCGAAAAGGAAAATAGAAAAAAATTTGATCAGTTTTAACTTGGCAACCAGTATGAATATGATGATGTTACACATTCACATGATAATCAGATAAAAACCCTTACCTTTTAATTGAAGTAAGATAAATATCTGTTTAGTGTAGTCGAATCTTGTAGTTTAGTTTGGTAGAGTCCTGTGGTAGAAATCCAATGGTTACTAATTTGATTCTTGTTGTGTCTTGTAAATCTTTACTTCACCTTCAATCATTACCAACTATTTATTGACACTACCCTATTATATACACTGAAGAAGGTGCTTATCTTTGAAATATGTTAAAGTTCCATTGTAGTTCTTTGTTTCGAATTGTATAATTGATCTCGAGTTTGAGCCCTATTGGGAACAAACAACATCGCTTATTGAGATAGAGAGATACATCCAGATGATGAGTCCTAAATGGAGCGAAACGCCCATCTTGAATTCCACTGCTTGTCACTATCCATCATTAATATAAAACTGTATTATTAACTAAATAAAGTTTCGAGCTGGATTTATCCCTCGTAATCTTATCGAGATAATCACGCAACTCTCTAGTCTAGTTTCATTAATAATTTTATTTTTCATTTAATTGGTGGTTAGCTTTTCTACGTATCCGGAATTGGTATTGCGTCATTTCTGTTACATGTGAAACGTCTCCCTCTCTCCACTGTCACTATCCCTTCCCCTCGTGTAATTATGTATGTGTGTGTGTGTGAGAGAGAGAGAGACAGCATACACAGCCATTATTGAAGCTTTTTCTATATTTCGATTATTGGGTGATGATTGAAGGTGAAATGGAAATTTGAACCACGGCCGGATTCGAACCAGCGATTGCCGGGTTTCCAACCCGATGCTCTATCAACTCCTGGGAAGTCCTGACTAAGCAGCAGCCAGTATGAGTACGATCAAGAGATAGTAACGCATCATGAATTCATATGGATTGTCGCGCAAAACCTTGGTTATAATTGAAGTGAAATAAAAATCTGGTGAGTAGTTGAACCTCGTAGCTCAGTTGGTAGAGCATCGAACTGGAAACCCGGGGGTGGCTAGTTCGAATCCGGCCCTAGTCCGAATCTTCTATATTCATTAGCTTGTTAAGGTTTACCATCCTGCGTTTAACTAGGTTTATATATACTGCTAACCCAATTGTTATTTGGGTCGACTAATGTGACCCGTGTATTTAACCTCATAATCATTGCATGGAATTCGATAGACAAAACTGCCTAGCTCAGTAGGGTCGATATGATCCTTTAGCCAACAACACTTGTCTCGAGGCGAGTTTCTAGATTTAAATGCCACTGTAATCCCACCCTTATTGATGCCTCTTCTTTATGCACTAAAACTATGGAGGTTGTAAAATCCTTCGATGTTTTTTCATTGCTGACACTCTTTGTCTAGATTTATTAATTTTAAGTTGGTCTTCATCATGGACTGAGATCGGTTAAAGGTACATTGGTAACTTGGGAGCACTGGACGGCTGTTTCGTCCTGGCATGGGCCTCTTCAGCGGTGCGCACACATGAGCCCGCCAGGAATCGAACCCTGGACCTCCAGGTTCCCTCGTTAGCACGTTACCGTTGAGCCATTGGGTCGTGCCCAGTGGTTCATATTTCCTACTTCGATGAGTTTGACGTATTGCGCGACTACCACCTAATGTAATCGTTGAGTAACTGTCCTCATGTTCCACTTGGTTGGCTCAACGTTAATGTGCTGGCCGCGTAACCTGAAGGTCCTGGGTTTGATCTCTCGCGAGGTGGGGTGATGGCTGCACACTGCTAAGGAGTTCCATACTAGGATGAAGCAACTGTCCAGCGCTCTCAGGTTCCCAATGCTCCTCTAACTGATGTCAGTTACTGATGAATTCCAACCTAACATCCTTTATATGTTTTATCACATGATGTAGGTTTTCCACCCTATTAGTCAGTTTTTGCGTCCTCTTAGAGATATGACCTTATCTGCCTTTGCTGGCAGCATATGGGGTGACCTCTAGTCCAGGTATTGTGCAGAGTGTGAAGTCTTTTTTGTAGACGCTAGTATCTAAGCCTTGGTCTTGCTTTCGATTGATTTTACAATCCAACACAGCCAGTATAAGTCTTTAGGTCATTGTGATATACAAGCCCCAATCACCATATCAAGGTACTGTCTATCGGTTGGAAGTCTTATTATTATTATTATTTGTCCCTCTGGTTCCTAGTGGAATATAAAGCTTCAATAGCACGTCACCATTTCACTCTGCCCTCTGAAGTCTTTTTAACCTGACTCAACGACTGCCCAGAAGTTTTCATTTCTTCCTCACACGATCTCCTCCATGTCACCCTCATCTCGGATGCCCAACTCGTCATTTCCCATTTTGGTTCCACTTGGTGGCCTGGCCTGGCGTGGCGTGACCTGACGTGTGATGTCTCCAAAATGATGTTCTCAGTGTATGCGCAGTCCAGTCCAGTCCAGTCCAATCCAATCCGATCCATGTCCACTTTCTTATTGTGCTTATTTGTTGGTTGGTACATTGTGGGGTCAGACAGAGTTTGTTGTTTTGTTGCTTATTCTTATTATTCTGGCAATGTGATGTGATCTTGAGTATGGATTGATCGTAGATGGGAGCTTTTGATGTGATGTATGTGTTGAGTTTGTTGGAAATGTTTTTGTAACACCCCAAGCACTGACTTGATTGACTTAGTTTTGAAAATCAAGATCTTGTTCACGCTTTATACTGAGTACACTGCAGTAGATTACCACACTGATTATTATTTCAGATTAATCCACGAAGGCCTGTCTTCCTGTCTTTCCGATCATGGCTGGCTTTCACATCCTCATGTGTACATGTGCCCCTCGTAGTTGAAACGATGTTGCCTAGGTAGGTGAGTGAAAGAGATAACTTCCTTTAGACTTCTCCTGATCATGGTGATTGGTGCTTGTTGTTGTTGTTGGTTGGTTGGTTGGGTGGTTGGTTGGTTGGGTGGTTGGCTGGGTATCTTCATCACTTGTGGTCTTCTCTACGTTCACCTGAAGCAAGTCCCGTCTTCACTGCCCCGCACCACCTTGCCTCTCCTGTCAATTTGTTAGTTTTCGCCTGTAGTTCTTCGAGTTTGTGTGACATGAGACATGAGATGTAAATCATCATCGTTGGCGAAATCTAAATCTTCTAGCGTCGTCAATCTTTTTGCTCCTCATAGTCTGTTGCATGATCCAGTCCAGCTGACCATAATCAGGGAGATCATGGATGTTAGTAGGCGGCAATCTTATCTTACATCTGTTTTCACTTCAAAGGCATTAATGAGCCTTCCATTGTCAATCACTTGGCGTGTAACGTCATCATATAGGTGTTGAATAAGGTTCATAAAAGTTTATGGCTTTAAAACCGTAGTGTTGAAGCAGCTGCCAGCCAAATTACTTCTAGGCACTATCGATGCTATCAAAGGCCTTTTCAAAATCGATGAAATTGAGAAGAAATATTACTTGACAAGTATAAGTTCAAATTAGCTAATTAGGTCGAGGGGATATACAAAGACTCAAATAGACAATACAATATAAAAATTAGACCAGGCTGAAGTTAGTTACACCTTACAATAACACATAGAGATCAAGTGTATGTATTTGTAAGGTCTTACTTCAAAAATTCTTTTGTTCTCAGTTATTTTATAATCATACTATTTCTCTAACAATCTAATGACGTAGTAGCATAGTAACGGTGTGTAATCGTTGTCTAGTGTTAATCTCATATACATTTTATATATACGGATTGATTTAAATTATTATTCCATACGTGAACAATACTTAAACTAATTCGATCTGTGTTTATTTCATGCATTGATATGTGTACAGTCATCTATAGTTATATTTCAGTTTCACACCCAACAGATTATTATTAATATTATTTACTGCGATACACCTTTTAGCCTCTTACCTATATGACCATTATTATTGTTAGAATAGTGTTATTAAATATAGCGAATACCAGTAATTATTGTTATTTATAGGATATGGAGGTATCATCCCGTTAAATAGTATACTCATATATATATATATATATATATATATATATATATATATATATATATATATATATATATATATATAAAGTAATTGGCTTTCTTTTCAATCTCACCTTCTTTGTTGATTTATTTTATTCCTATATAATTTACTTTTAAACGCAAAGTGAAAAAAAAAATACTAACCGTAATTATACCAACAATGAAACCGATGAATAATGGTGAGATAGATCCTTTCTCTTTTCAATCCCTACTCTCTCCCTCTGCTTCTCTTTCTCTTTCTTTTATAAATACATACACGCAAGCTTATTATTTGGAATGATTGCGCCTCTTTTCTCTTCTTTTGTTTATTGTTAAATTGAAATTAAGAAAATGAGAGAAGAAGCTGAAACAACTTTTTAGAAGTATCTTGTAGCCTGATAAGTTATCTATA